TATGCTTTTTTTAATACTTATCCAAGCTGCTGTACTTTTGGTTTTGATAGCACTCTGCATTGGGTCGAACTCATAGGCTGTATGCAAAAAAATGGACGTTGCCTCTGTGATGTCAACCTTGGCTTTGTATGTATTATTTTAATTCTATTTCTACATTATGGGGGGCAGGATATCAGGAACACATGTAATTTGATATACAATAAATTAATGTCTATTAAGACTGACTCAACCTTCTTGAGTCTGTCTTATTTCTTGGTGATTTTCTCATTGCTCTTTATGAGCTTTAGGATCCATCAAGAGTTGACATTAGTAGCAGTGAAAATCCATCCAACAGGTCAAATATTCAGCTAAACACAAAATGATTCCTACCTTTGATATATCTTTTCCTATGTTTTCTTAACTTTGTAGAGATGTCTGTCTCATTTCCTATCAAAACCTCTCTTAGTTGTATGAAATCATTTCAAATCTGGATCTCAGGGTTATTGGTAATTTGAGGCTTAACTGTGTTAATGGATCACTGAATTTGCATGCATGGCACTTTAAATATGTCAGATCGAATATTACATCCAAGCAGTGTTTTCTGGTTGCAACATGGAATTCACTGATGCTGCAACAGTTCAATATATTTTGCTGCCCTCATAGGTATGGAAAACTAATCGTTTTTTTAATTTGTTTAGTCTAATGTGTGCTTTAAAACTGAGCTCTTTTAATAGTTTACTGCAATAAGTAGTGGAAAAAATTTTAGTGACTATATATTGTCAAATACTTTTTCTCAGTGAGACTCTGCCATCTATGGGCTCATCAGTGGTGCTGTGGTTGGTCAAATTGGATCCATGCCCCCAGCCTTAGCGTTGGTCAGTCTCCTCCTTTAGTTAGAGGCATACTGAAGGAGAAGAAAAGCATAAACCAATTTAATGTTGTTTACCAGTCATTTTATAACCCAGGGTCCATATTCTCAAAGATTCCTCTCAGAGAGCTTCTATCTTAAGCCAGAAATTCCTGCCAAGGACTGCTGGCTTAAAAGAGTGGCAGTAAAATCAACTTTTTAAAGCTTTTCATCATGCTATAATGTTACTCCCTCATCAAAAACCTGCCTATGATGCTGCTGTGATTGCAGCTGAGAAATCCTCACATTCCCATGACAGCCATTCCCACAAAGCTCCTCCTTGGAGCTGCAGGCTCCAGCCGAGCTTCTGTCTCACAAAGCTGCCCTTCCTCGTGCCTGACCCACTCGGCTTGTCCAGACAGGTGGGAGCAGTAACTGGCAAACTATTGGTGGACCTGCTGAGGTCATTATAAGGACCACCTCTCAGTCCAGCGATCCTACGAACGATAGTAAGAAGCATAATGACAAGTACTGTTTGTGATAATGTGCTGCAGGTGGCGTGTAGGAAAGAGCAGGAGCTTCTTAAAGAGACAGAAGCCCAATTTTAAGGCATCAAATTTCTTTCAAGACATGTTACCTTCATACAACTGAAGGTAACGTAGGTATTTGACTGCTATAAAATGCCACTGTGTGCCTGGAAATGCATAATGATGTCCCTTTAAGAGTGATTCATTCAGCTGCTGAGGTAGGGGTTGATATTCTTCTCAACAACAGGGTCAACAGGTATGGTTGACCCCGTTGCAATGGGCAACGTTGTCCTCTCGGGACTTTGATTGATTATTTGGCCTCTTCTGGTGTTTAATGGAGGTTGGTAAATAATTTGATGGAGTATTACTGCCACCAACTTGTAACAGGTCTGGACCAAATGCCCCCTAACTTTTATTGTACAGAAAGAACATACTAAGAAAAATCTTGAAATTCTAAGAATTGTCCTGCAGCGACATCTCTAGAAGTCTCTTTTAGTCTCAGGATTTGTTGAGAATATGGATCCCAGCTTTGTTGCACTCCTTCTTTGGGTCGTATTGATACTTGGCTTGTCTTTGGTGCCAACTTTTTAATGCTCGTCAGGGTTTTCATAACTTGCGTGGGCCCTGGAGGTTTCATCCAGACTGTTCCCGACAGATGTCAGAGCCACACCAACATGAAAAACCTGATTGGGCTGAGATTGCGTCCATCTTTGGCATACAGTGTATGGTTCAGAATAGTGATGTTGTATCTTACAGTGTTTCTAGATTTTATTTAAACATATACTTATGCTATATACTGATGAGACAGAAGCAACAGTGTGTTATTTTTTGAAGCCTTTTATCTTGCTCTGCACAACCTAATATTTTTGCTTTGTCGCCTTTAGAGGTCAGTTGTTCTTAAAAGGACCTGATGCTTCTGATTTAGGATCAATATGAAGATTTGGGAGAACCTATTAAAAAGAAAATCAAAAGTTCTAGCGTATGTGAACTTGAGAGATTTTGGGTTGTCTAAATGACGGAGTTAACCTCAGAACTTGCAGGATCTTATGTGTGTTTGCTAAGAGCTGGGCCAATCATATAAGACATTGTATTGTATTGACACGCATTAACCAATATACAATTAATGATAAATTTCCACTAATGATGCAAAGCCTTTTATTGTAAGGGGATCCCAGACTGAATGATGGATGTCACTGCTATGTTTTTTAGCCAACAGTAAAATAACCACAAGAGCAGAACAATCTGGAGCACAAGTGCCTCAAAATTTATAACTTTGACTTATTCTTTCTGTGCTCTCTATAGTTTGCAACACTTTGGGTGAAACTAAATAACAAAGTGAAAAATAGTGAAGGACACGGTGATTTTTGGAATCTGTTTAAAGTTTTATTGGTAATCTGACTCTTTTTTGAGTTGCTTTCTCAGCAACTTTCCAATGTCTGTTTCAAACCTTTAGATGAGTTTTAAGAACAACCTTGAACAAACGTCTGGAGCCGCGGTATTGTCTTGCTTGACCATGATCTAACTTTGCACCAGCCTTTTTGGGATTTTGGTTCCTACTTTTTTCATGATTTATTTAATGAGAGCATGTCTTGAGTTTAATCTCTGTTTACTAATTGTTTTATGTTGCCTGAATTATTTCTTTAAAGGTTTCTCTCAGATATATGTCTTTGAGTCAAGATTCCACCCTTTTGAGCTAAAAAGGACTTTCTACATCCCAAACTTTGTCTTGGCCGGGAAAACGAATCTTCCTAAAGGGATCTTGAATTTCTTCCAAGTAATAACAAGTGAGCTGATTTTGTTTTGGTTTTTGAAACAAGAGTCTCCAAAAAGAGATATTCTAAAAGATCATCGCCCCATTTATCCCTGATCCACTAAATTAAATAGAATCAGAGGTGAATCAACTAAAGCAAACAATGTTGACTAAGGATAAAGGCAGAGAATATACCCCCTAATCTAATAATAACAGGTCAGCTTTTGCAGAATTATTTCATTATTATAGGATTAAACCAGGAACTACATCATGCTGTGATTCCAATGTTTGATCTGAACTATTTTCTTTTTCTCATGATTGTAATGAGCACAGACGGCGCATGTCTTCTTGTTCTGTTCAATGATCTTTTGTTATGTTTCCTTTTTTAATGATGTACACATGGTGACATGCCTTAAATGAGTATGAAAGATCACATTGCAGCAAGGATTGGCAGTCTAAGCGGTGCAGGTTCACCTGCTGGAGCTTTTTCTTCAATTTAATGCCTGAAATGTACCGCCAGGCAAAAAAAACAATGAATATTTGTTGTGGCACATCTGATTTTCTGTTTTAAAATGTTTTTCTTAAGACTGGCGACTGTGACGATGAAGTAGAACAGCAGGAATTGTTGATGTATAATTTCTCTACCAAACACACAGACTCAAGAATGCAGCGAACAATTCAGCATTAACAGCTTCACTGTTTTACGTAACACTCGGAGCTTGTCTGCGGCTTTGTGGTGCAGAATGATCTATGGCGCTCAAGAACAAAATCTTACATTTCTCCAGATGTTCCCATTGGATGGTTTCTTTTCATAATGTGGAGAGCTGCCTCTGTCTGCAGAGACGTGCAGTGAGGTGATGGACTTCGTTGAGCTGGTGATGAGATGCTGTTGGTTCAAACTCAACTGATGTCACTTCACACAAGTTCATCTTTTAAACATATATTAATGTTGTTTATTGTATATTGGACACAAATAAACAATCATGCATCTTGCTAGTCGGGTTTTGTTGTGTAGTCATTTTCTGAATATCTAAAATTCACAAAAAACATTTGACAAAAATCCAAATGTAGTTCAAAGCTAGACATCACACTTATGCCAACCCTGCAGATTTCCCTTTTGCTTCCTCCAAAGCAAAACATGAGAAATAATCTAAAAATGTTACAAAAAAAGTATCATTATAAAATAAGTGAAGCGACAATGAATTGATTCTTCAAAACAAGAGAATGTGTGTTGTAGATTCTGTTAATTTAAAGCCAGAAACAGCACATTGTTAAAAAGTGAAAATACAAAAAGGTTTTGGAAATTTACAGTCATCGTCACGGTAGAAGAATAAAATAAAATGTGTAAGACTTGAAGGAGAGCATCCCATCGTTCGTCATTGAAATGAAGTAACTTATTTTGTTCTGTAACAGAATAATAGAATAGAAGAAGCTTTGCACTTAGATTCAAAACTGCACAATAAAATGGAAAATAGTAATTTATGTTTGTTCCCATTTATGTTAATTCATTTGTTAGATTTGTCAGAAATTGATTGTGCATGGGAATTTCTCTTCCTTCCCCTCAAATACTTGTTGAAAACTTTGGATCTGCTGTCACACAGACTGCTACATGAGATCTACATGAGATCAACTAGATGCCCTCAGCATCTAGTTGAAGAAAATGGCATAATATGAGTTACAACCATACATATTTTATCTCTGTGAAGAATAAAGTAGTTTGAAAATAAACGTGAAACAATGCTTTAATAGAAACCCAACTGTTTTAATCCTTTTATTATTTATTGAACTGTCATTTGGAATTTCCTTATTTCTTTGTTTTGTTTGGTCAGCTTGTATTACCATCGTCCACCTCCTGATGGCGGTAATGTTCTGGCTCATCGTAAGGCAAGTACAAAACGTAACATTTCCGCTTCCGGTAGCGCAGTATCCTTCTCGGGCAGGAGAAATGTTGTCCCGGTTGTCACGGTTGAGGCTCGCGTCGCCTCGGACTGTTTCTGTCCTTTCGACCCGCTTCGTGTCGCAGTCCAAAGCGGACAGCGCCGTCTCCTCCACGGCGGTCACGGAGCTGTTCGAGCCCGTGGATCAGACCGGACGCGGCGAGGTCAACCCGTTCGCCAAGGTGAGTGGACCTCCAGCGAACCGAGCCTCCAGCGAACCGAGCCTCCAGCGAACCGAGCCTCCAGCGGACCGAGCCTCCAGCGGACCGAGCCTGCGCTGACGGGACTGTGTCCTGGCGGGGAGTTCTGTTCACTTTCGGCTCAGTTCAGCGGCAGGTTTATTCTGTGTTCATGTTTGGAAGGTCCAAATGTGACACAGTAAATCTTTATTGAGAGAACCCTTTTTATACAAACACTAGCTACAACAACAAACAGTGTTGTTGTTGTTTTTACTGCATAAAGTCTTGCTGTTTTATATTTAAGTATAAAATTGTTAAACTCTCTTCTGTCACATTCATAATGGCAGCAATTACTATTTCTCGTTCCTCAGTTTTGATTTGTTGTGGTGTTTTTGCTGCTGTTCTTGTTTTAAATATATATTTTGAATTTATCTTTGGACAATTATTCCCTCTGCTTCGAAATGTTGTGCATCTGGAAGGATTTTTGCTCTTTTTTACTTGGTGTGTAACAGATGAGTCAGTTACACAGCAGCAGTCTTCAGTCAGAGGCCGCTTCAGATTTGTTGCAACACTGACTGCTACTGGAGATCCATTCTGCTCACAGCATCACCATCCACAACGAATCTTTAAAGATAATTGAATGATATGAGTTACAATAACGTTTCATTTTCCTGTGGACCCGGGGTAACGTTCACCTCCCTGAGTTTTCTCCTGACTTCTGATACTCAGGCAGACGGTCACCTCCTACAGGACCAATGTGTGAGTCGGTTATGACCTTGAGAAATAATGAGATTTGGTTAAGTATAAAAACAGGCTTTTAATGCTGAAAAATGATCAAATGTTACAAGTCATACAAATGACACAGATAAGAGAGTGACATTCACCGTCCAGCGCTGGGCCACTTAGCTCACCTTATGGATGCAACCAAGTGAGGCAAAGGTTGTAGCTTGAGTTTAGCTTTTATTCTAATCCGCAACCTGTTCCCTCCCTGATATGGTTATGTGAGCAGCAGCACTGTGCATGTTAAGCAGATAAGCGTTAGAGGAAAACACAGAACCCATCACAGTTGTTTCTGGTCAGCTTTTGACAATTTTCTCTTTTTTAAAGAGTTTCTATTGTGTTACTTATTGTTTTGGCCAGAATCCAGACTTCCATGGCTTCTCCACCGATCCTGCAGAGGATGTGAGAAACATGAGGGTGGGCTTCTTCTTTGGCATCTCTGTGGCTCTCGTTATCGGCGGAACCTTTGTCCACTATTTACCAGACCAGGGGTAAGTTTTTTGTTTGGTTCTGCTCAGATGTGAGGTGACAGAGGTCAGGGATGCAGAAAGAGTTTATTCATAAATGTTTGGAAGTGCAAAATGTTTCAGCTGCAGTTTGAAATATTCCTTTAAATCTCTCTAACCCAAGAAGCCATGACTGCCAAAACTGAACCCGATGAGAAAAATGTTGTCATTGTTCCGATGACTGTGGTTGTAGAAAATTTGTTGGTTATTCAAATGATAAAAAGCAATACCACAATAAATTCAAAGGAGCTTGATCATTTCATGATTGATTGTTTTTCTTGAGTTTCTTTCTACCAAAGTCTGGTCAACAAAAGTCTTCAGTCTGGTTCCATTGAGCCCCTTTTCTGAAAAGCTGTTTTGTTTACATAAACTTCAATATCTATTTAATTTGTTTTGTTTATTTAGTTTGGACATTTAACATGCCTTTCAGTTCTAGTGTTCTTTATTTATTACAAATTAAACGTATTGGCCTTTCAGAGGGTGGACTTAAAACGAGCCTGATTGTTTCACGATTGTTTTTCGTGTCTCGTTCTACCAAGACTGCCCGACTAAAGTCTTCAGTCTGGTGCAAAACGTATGAAAATGTTTTTTGAGACCATTTTCATGTTACTTGAAAGTGGTCTCAAAACAATATTATTTTTATAGAAATAATTTGGCTTAGCTGCAGCTGATTTGAAGCCAGTACAGTGTGGTTAAAAAAAATAATTAAAAAAAACACTGTGATGTGAATATTGCACTCACTGATATTGTGATGAGTATATCCTGCACATGGTGCTACCTTACAATAAATGTCTTTACAGTACAATGATGGGAATCAAAAAGGTGAAAATGGTTTCATATTGATGAGTAACAGCTACTGGTTGCTCCTTCTTTTGTATTTTATTTTTTTAGTGGAAGCAGGAAGCAGTTTTCCTCACTACCTCTGGAAAACTGACTGTTTAAATAAGGATCCAGTATAAATTAATGAGGCGAGCGCTGACTTCAGTGAAGTTAAACAGTCCTATGTGGGCACTTTCATGTCATCGTGAGGCCTAACCAGTATTTTTGGCTTCCAGGATGCGAAAGTGGGCCAGACGGGAAGCAGAACGGCTCATTCAGCTCAGGGAGAAAGACGGTCTGCCGCTCATCGAGGAGAACTACTACGACGCCAGCAAAATCATCCTGCCCTCCTCCAGTGAGGACTGACCCCTCCTGCACTGTCCCACTCTATTTCATGGTTGTAAATCACTGATTAAATAAACTCTGCTCTTATTGGATGATGTTTGGGTTCTTTTACCTCCACATTTTGATTTCCAATAGTAAAATGCAGGTCTTTTGGTGTTTTATAGTTTTGAACCTCGTGTTCCTGTGGAAGAGTTCGATGGATGTAATGGAAAGGTGTCCGTTTTTCAGTCCTGCTTTGTTCTCCAAAATTACCAGATCATCAGAAACCAACATGAAGGAGGGATGTAGAAGAGTTGTGACAAGTAGCCTTTTAAAATCCTGTAATCCTTCATTCTAAAAACAATAGAAGCACCATCACAATGTCAAAACATTAAAAAAACGTAGCTTTATTTCTTGTGTATTAACCCCAAAACTGCAGGTTTTCTAGAGGTTCAGAACATCCCAGGTTGACTCAGTGACCGCTTTTTATCAATAATGGATTGCATTTTTATTTTGCACCATCTTATAGAATTGTGAATGTTTCATCTTAGACTTTGGACTGTAAATGTGTTTGTTTCTCCTGTAAGTTTTAATGTGGTTGGTCGTCTGTTCAGCATGATGACTTTTACTGCTGCTGCTCTGATCCTCGGTGGCCATGCTGAACTGGGAATGCACAGTTTCACTCATCACTGTGTTTAAAATTGAGTCACTTCATCCTGTTTGAATTTCCTATCATTCATTTTTTTGTGTGTCAAATATTGGTGAACTGAAACATCTCGTTAGTAGCTAAATTGGTATTTTATAGGTCAAATCTGACCACAAAACAAAAGTTATTTAATGTGGCATGCAATAAATGCATAAAATATTCTAATGTAATTTTTTGTTTTTTTACCAAATTTTTTTGTTTTTCCAACAATTCATTGGTTTCCAGTGAAAGTGCTGATAATTATGCATCTAAACTGGAATCTAATAACCTTAAATGTTAGATTCCACATAAGTGAATTCCCAACCATCTGACCAGGAGGATAGATGGACAGATCTCTGCTGAGATCGCTTCGCATCCCAACACTAACTCTGAAGAAGCAGAAGTCCAGATCCAAATCCTTGGTCAGACGGGCCGAGGTCACGCACGACGGGGCAAAGAGCAAAATCCATGGGAGTGGGCCGAGATCCAGATGAGCAAACAGCAATAGTCAAGTCAAAAGGGGCAAATTCGGGAAACGAGCGTATTTGCAACCATGAGGGCAACATGGGAGTGCTGGAAAACTCCTCGCTGAAAGCGTTTGATAATCTGGCAGCGTGTTTGTGACTGAGAGAAGGGAAACAATCAGGGAGCGACACAGGTGCAAAGAATAACGGAATATAATGACATGGATTGGCTCAAAACAAAAAACAGCACCATGTGATCAAACAGGAAGTAAAATGAAGGCAAAAATTTATATAAAAACAAAAAACTTGAAAGAGGGCAAAATTAATTGTCATTAAGGCCATCAGTACATTTTCTCCAGTTAATCAGACCAGTCCCTTGTTGCTGCAGTGAAGACATCAGAGCTGTGGTGCGTACTGGTCACAGTTACTGGAGTGCAGTGGGCTGAATGTTCCCCAAATTCTGTAAAAAAAACCTGATGAACGATGACCAGCACTGCCTCCTCTACTTTATCAAGAACATAGCTCGGGGGTGAGATCTCCTGTTTCATCCCAACAAGTGATGACCACGTTAATCTTCAACAGAAAGCGGTAGAGTCACGGGCGCCCGGCGGAAAAAGAGCCTGGAGCCTCTGAAGAGCTGACCCTGAAGGAGGTCGGGGAGAACAGTAGAGCTCTAAATGTTCTGAGGACAGGAAGATGGACTTGTGGTCGCTGCAGGTCAGAATGTCAGCATACCTCGGCACTCAGATGATTCCAGCAGTGCAGCCAGGATTTAAAGACAGGAAACCGAGGAGGAAGACCTGCAGCCAGTCTGGAAACACAGAGCTGAATGAGTCCAAGCGGCAGCATGGAGCAACATCAGCTTCTCTTTTCTGTGATTCTGAAGCAGCCGATCAGACCTTAAATGCAGCCCTGGTCCCGCCCACAATCCATTCAATAAGGGCACATTCTATTTTGAATGAATTATTTCTGCATTTAATCCCAGTTTTAAAAGATTTATAATGTTTAAATAATTACTTCATAAGGGTTTTTTTTTTTTTACTGATCTTAGGTATTAATTACGGATGACAAACTTCCAGGTTGTTAAAACAATCTGCCAGACCCTCATCAAACGGAAAACAATAAATCGCCCCTCATTCTGTTACTCACCCACAGTTGTTGACGGCCATTACAACAGCAACCAGCGTGAATGGGTAAGTCAGAACACTCAGTGAAATCTAGAGAAATGCAGTCAACATTAATGTACCTGCTGACCATCAGTAGCTGTCAAAATGAAAGTGCTAATAATGATAATAAACTTACGCCCATCACAAACTTTGTGTAGCTTCTTATTGTTGACGCCTGACTAAACTGAAACAAGAACAGGAGGTAAACAACGCACATTAATGAAAATGCTAAAGTTTTCCATTTAACTAATAGTATAAATTTCATGTGGAGTCCCTGACAGCTTGATGGTGCAATACTAAAATAAATGCAGAACAGAAACACTGAAACCAATGATGTGATCTTTAAAGAAGAATGGGAGAATAAGTGACAGACTGAACCGATACAAAGAGGTTGAGAGTTCAGAGTTCATGATCCTTCAGATAACCTTTAACACAAGTACTAAGAACCTGTTGGAAAACGATCTTAAAACAGCTTCAAAAGCTGTAAATACACTCACTTTATTAGGTAAACCTGTCCTCCTTCTCATTAACATAAATGTCGAATCAGCCAATCATATGGCAGCAACTCAATCCATTAAAGCATGTAGACATGGCCAAGACGATGTGCTGCAGTTCAAACCGAGCATCAACATGGGGAAGAAAGGTGATCTCAGTGACTTTGAATGTGGCATGGTTGCTGGTGCCAGACGGGCTGGTCTGAATTTCAGAAACTGCTGATCTACTGGGATTTTCACCCATAACCACCTGACAGGTGGTTCAAAAAAGAACCACCTGTCAGGTGTAAGGTGCAAATGCCTGTTGATGTCAAAGGTCAGAGGAGAATGGCCAGACTGGTTTGAGCTGATAGAACGACAACAGTAACTCAAATAACCACTCATTATTTGCAGAAGAGCCTCTCTGAAACCACAACACATCAAACCTTGAGGCGGATGGGCTACAGCAGCAGAAGACCACACCGAATGCCACTCCTGTCAGCCAAGAACAGAAAACTGGGTCTAAAATTCACACAGGTTCACTGCATTTGGACAACAGAATATTGGAAAAACGTTGCCTGGTCTGATGACTCTCGATTTTTTTCTGCGACATTCGGGTCAGAATTTGGCATCAACATGAAAGCCTGGATCCATCCTGCCTTGTGTCAACGGTTCAGGCTGCTGGTGGTGAAATGCTGTGGGGGGATATTTTCCTGGGACATTTTGGGCTCATTAGTACAAACTGAGCATCATGTCAACGCCACAGCCTACCTGAGTATTGCTGCTGACCATGTCCATCCCTTTATGACCACAACGTACCCATCTTCTGATGGCTGCTTCCAGCAGGATAACGTGCCATGTCTTTCATAAAGTGCAAATCATCTCAGACTGGTTTCAATGAGTTCACTGAACAAGACTGGGCTCCACAGTCACCAGATCTCAGTCCAATAGAACATCTTTGGGATGTAGTGGAACAGGAGATATGCATTATGGATGTGCAGCCGACAAATCTGCAGCAACTGTGTGATGCTATCATGTCGATATGGACCAGACTCTCTGAGGAATGTTTCCAAAAACTTGTTGAATCTATGCCACGAAGAACTAAGGCAAAAGGGAATCCAAACCGGTGCTAGCAAGGGGTACCTAATAAAGTGGCCAGTGAGTGTATTTCTTGAAAGAAAAGAAACAAAGAATAACAAAAAAAAAACAAATAAAGAAAGAACAATTGATAAAAGCTTGATCCATGTTAGCTAATTGAATTAGCAGTTTGAAACATTTCAAACTGAATTGTTGAGTAATGCTGTGGTGCAACATTAGATTTATTCCAATACCTCTAAAAAACAAAAAACAAAATGTGATCAAATGTCAGCCAAGATCATTTTTGGCTGGTTTAGTTTGGACTCGGACAAACTTCACTGCAACTCTTCTCGTGTTCATTTGCAAACCATGAATATCAATGCATGTTCTAATCAAACAGCATCACAGCTGGTGTACGTACGCTGTCGTCTGCAGCATAGGTGTTGATAAAGTAGCCCAGTAGGTTACAGCACCACAGGAAGAGGACGTCTCCCAGCACATGTGGAACAAAGCCGCTGCAAACGAGCACACTGTGATCAGACCGTAAGGAGTTAAACACACTGTAAGGACTGTAGAGCTCACACCACTTACGAATATAATCCAGACAATCCTTCCTCCTTCAATATCTTCACCATACAACTGAATACACCGCTGCAAATGAGAAAACACCTTCTGCAATATTTCACCAGACACAAATGATACCACATTATTACATCAAGATCAGTGATTAAAGACTTGACTGGTGGGATGAAGGAAGTGATGTCGTCGTTCAGATATCTCTGCAAAAGGTCACCCAGAATAACCTTTGAAAACCTCAACAAGAAGTCTGAACTAAACGAACATGTTAACTTCAGGTTAAAGTCTTGTGTTGACTTGTGTTCAAACAAAGAACAGTTCTAACTAACTGGAGCGATTCCTATGGATAACTGTACAAGGGAATCCAATCACTGCTGAACGACCCATCAGCATCTTTTCTTTGTCTAAACCGGTTTTAAGCCAGCTTTACATGATTATTTTTAGCACAATCCTTTTGCAGAGAGGCACTTTGACCTCGCGACACGGCGAATAAAGGGTCGTTTACAGGCAGTGCGCCGCGGACCACTAGGGGGCGCCCGGGGACCACAGTTTGAGAAGGACTCCCTTTAAATAATAATACTTTAAGGCACAAATGTTTGACCAACTTCAACTCCCTTTCTCTTACTTTTCAGTTTCTTGTAGAAAAATAAAATAAAGATATTCTGTTTCCTGGAAGTTCAGGTGGCTTAAAATTTTACCAGAAGTTTAGTTTAGAGCCAGATGTTTGAGCCAAAATATGCTAAATTATGCAAAAGTATTCATATCACTTGGTACTTTTCTGCTTTAATATCACCCTTTTTGGAGGATAATAATCAAATTTGCTAAGACCTAAACAAACAAACAAACAACAACAACATACAAACTAAATATTTCTTCATTTTGTCTTTTCTGTTGGGATTTGTGTCATTTTAGACTTTGCACTTACATATGAAACAATCAACATCTGCTGAAGCCTCATCCCACACATAGCGCCACCAGTTTTTTTGGGTGGGGGGGTTTAAGCACATGGAAAAGCTAGTTGTGTTTTTCCATGGGCAGATTGGTCTAAATGGATATCAAGAGATGGTGTCCTGATTGAGTGAGTGAGTTTATCAAATCAAATCTGCCTCTGACTTCAACATAAACAAATCACCTCAATGAAACATCTGTTTGTATGACCTCATTTGTTAAAAGTCACCAGGTAGGAGTCAGTCTGCCATGTCCAGAACGCAGAAGGACCAAGAAAGGGAGAGAACAATGCAATCTCCCTCAACGTGGATCCCCATCAGTGACTAGCTGTTCCCTCTTCTGTGTTGACTTGCAAAACTTTATAGGAAGCTATTGTTCTGAACCTGGACCAGATCTTGTGACCTTACCTGTACTCGGTCTCTCTGCCAATGAACTGGGCCATGCAGCGCACCGATATGACTGTCAAAGAAAAACAACACAGCTGATCAGATAATCTACTGACTCTGGTGTTCCTTCATCGGACTGATAACAGGGCACGCAGTCTAGGGAGCGGGAGACATATTTGTTGGTTTCACCAGTTAAGTGTTAATTTCTCCCTGCATAAAAACATTACGGCACTTTGGCTTCTGTTGTTTTGCTTGAAATTGTTTCACTTGCGCCGTCCAAGTGAAACCTTGTAAACTCCTACCATCAGTAGAGCTTTACAAGATTCTACTGATGTTGTAAAGTTTTTCTCATTTTCAAATGACAAATAATAATAAAAATAATAATTTACAATATTAAGCCCAGAACTGACCAAAAAAAAACTGAATAAGGGAAAACTTTTCTTAAACTGGTTCTACTGGTGATATGAGGCTCAGAGGAAAATTCAAAACCAGTGTAGAGGAAACCATCTTACTGAGGGCATACCATGAAAAGGATGGGTGGCCACTCTGGACAGGCACTGGAAGATCATCTCATGGGATGTCTGAGAGTAAAAGTTGAAAGAAGAAAGCCATTATGACTTTTGATTTCAACATGGCATTTTGAAACATAAGAACTGTCAGTTTAACCCTCAACTTTCTTGGATTAAAGAGATAGAAAACACTATTGCTCATGATTCTTCAGAAACCATTGACCTCTCACCTCTTGGACCAATTTCCTAAAGGTATTCTGGTGCTCATCTTTTTTGGACTGAAGCTCCCTCTGGTTATGGAAAAAAGTTGCAATTTGAATAAAAAGTTGCATTTGAGAATAATCTTTGCTATAAGATCTGTGCAGTAGAACTGCAGTAACAAGCATTCGGAGCTCTGGGAACAACATCTGAATAAATGAACATCAACACTGAACATAAGTCCATGTGGTGTTGTACAGGAAAACTTCCAAGCTCTATTAGTTTCCAAGTATGCAACAAGTGATCACCGTTGTGTTAATATGACCACAGTGTTAGTCTCTTTCTTACCCGTTTAATTTTGCCCCTGGCCACAGTGGAGATGGTGCTGGATACAATACGAGGTGAGAGACCCCGGAAGAGTCCCACCTTTCCATCCACCTTGAGAATATACTGAGCTGGAAACAAACACACCTCCTCTTAGCTGCTAGTCAGCACATTCAGTCAACATGTGAAACATGCTGCGAGAGAATATACATAGGTCACACGCTGTGCCTTTTTTAAAATGAAAAATACTTTATTTATCCCACGAGAAACTTAAATCTGCTTGTCGTTAATCCAGGCGATTGTTGAGGCCTCTGCTTGTGTCTTCTGGAGTTTCAGACAAAGCAGAAATCAAAGAACGTGATCCTCACGGTGTTGCCTCCTTTGTCCAGTCATGTGACTGCATCTTCAACTCCAACTCAACAGCAACAAGCAAACTGCAAGGGGTTGTGATATTGCGTAAGCACTTGAGTAAGCAACAATACTCAAGTGGACCGACTGTTGTCTCTCCAGGACCTTCATAATTCTGGATGTCAAGGTAACTGGTCAATTGCCAGTGACGACTGATGGGTAAGCTTTCTTTGGTGCCATAGCAGGGCAGGAACAACACTGTACTGGCTCCAGCTAAGGTGGAAGAAATGTTGCAGAACTCCACAGAGCTGCATGGCGCATGCTTTCAGGACTCAGGTTGACACTATTTGGACTCACAGCCTGGTTCCACTTCACTCGCTCAGCTACATCTTCACCTGACTTTTAGAGATGCACAAAAACAAGGACGAGACAAAGAGAGCTCCAGCATCTCCTGATTTGGTTAAAGACATCGATGGAAGCAAAAGGGTCCATTAAGGTGGAAAACAAAACACTGGATGACAGACGAGCTGTTGGTCAAAGGAAGGTGTGACGTATATTTGGCCGATGGGAGGAGAGGAGGATGCTGATCTTGCTACCGGTTGAAAAGTGTGTTCAGTTCACTGCGTCTGTCTGGACTTCCATCAGTCAGACTTTCTGCTCGAAGACTGTGATTTTCTTCATCGCTGACAAAATATATTTGATATTCTTCTGCTGGAACTTGCTCTTCAGCTTCTTCAAGTACACTGCCATGACTAAGTTGTTTTCATATACTTCTCAATAATTGCTCATCTTCCTCCCTTATTTTTTCATGTGTAGCAGTTTCTTCAGGTCACTGGTGTGACCTGGGCTTTGTCATAAAGGAAGACAGTAGTAGTGTGTTGTGGATAATGTTGTCCACATAATGTTTATACAGTCTGTCACACACTCAGTCATGGCACTGACTGAGTGTGATCTGATTTGCCAAGAGAAGATCTTGATATCAATATTTTCATAAACTATGTCCAACCAAATTGGGATTAAGTGCCCAGCGGCTCATCAAAATGTGACAGGAGGAAGCTGAAGTTGAACCTACAACCTCCTGATCACAAGACGACTACAGTCGTCCCCACAGGAGAATGTTTTGGTCTTTGGCTATCCCTTATGTAACTCACCATAGCTAAATAAACCAGGCAGGTACAGAACTGGTCTCCCAAACATTGTTGTCCCAACAGCTGGAGGGAGAGGTTCGTGTCCCACCTGGAAAAAATGAAAAAAGGGAGAAAACACAAACTGATCTGAGGTGGAGGCAGAGGAGATCCTCGCCCTGTGAGAAAAAATACTTTAGTATACTTCAAACACACTTACACATGCGTAAGTGCATCTTAAGTATACCAAGTATGATCATACTTATGATACAGTATTACCATCAAACACATTGGATGATCCAATGTGTTTGATGGTCTGTACAGATAGATTAGATATACATCTATAATCCACCTCTTCTGTCTCATCTCTATATATTCTCTATGTACCTGAATGAGCAGTTTGACGTAGAGCAGCGGGTGTGTGATGGCAGTGACACTCGCCCCCAGCAGCACAACGGCAGCGTCCACTTCCACGGGAGTGGAGGGCATCCTGGTCAACGGAGGCTTCCAGCGAGGGCTCCTGCTCCACGGAGACCCATCTCTGGTGCCCGAAACGCCCAGAGAGGGAGAATCAGCTGGAGCTGACGTGACTTCCGCTCCGAGCTCTCAGCCTCAAACTCCGAGAAGTTCAGCTAAACTAATGTGTCTGACTATAAAAAAAAATAAACGAATGAAAAACAAATAAATAAATAAATAAATATATGAAGCAGCTCACGTCCTTTACCGCAGCGTTATTTGGTTCAAAGCCGATGGCTAGGCTCTCTCGGCGGAACAAAAACAACTGGGCGGAGTCTATCCGATGACGTCACGTCGTTAATGATCTCGGGCGACCAGACGTTCTTTCGTCAAGATGGCCAGATGTTACATGATGCGTTCAAAACATTCAGACCCTGGTGAGAAAAACATATGGATACTTTAGTATATTTCAAACATGATTAAATTTGTGTAAGTGCATTTTAAGTACACAAAGTATTAAGTGTAGTACATATAAATGAAGTACTCTTACAGCATCCTTGTACCAATTATGGCATTATAACTTTAAACACACTTTTAACAGCATAACTAGATAATGCTGTTATCTAGTATTAAGATCACAACATCTTCAACAATATTAAGATACTGTTCATCTTAATTAAGATGTATATTAAGATACTTGGTAATATGAATTAATTAAGAACAGTATCTTAATTAAGATAGATACTTATTAAGTACCTATCTTAATAAGTATCTATTAAGATACCGTTCTTAACTAAGAACAGCCGTTGAACAGATACTGTTCTTAAGTAAGAACAGTATCTTAATTAGGAATACTGTTCTTAATTAAGATTCTGTTAATCTTAGTTAAGATTAATTACTGTTATTTAACTGCAGTCAGAGTTAAGAACAATATCTTAATGTTGTTATTTTAATAACAATAAAATATTGTATTACATTATCAAGATAACAATACTGTTATTATTATGTTAACAATAGTATTGTTGTACTGTTATTAACAGTATGATGATTTGTTAATAACAGTATTATACTGTTATAACAAATATACTATTATTAACAGTATAGTAATACTGTTATTATGTCAGCTTTTCGTGTGCCAGGCTACTGCTACCACTGTGGGGAAGATGGATTTTTCCCTATTGTCAAAAGAAAAAGGGAAAAAATCCATATTTTTGAAAGGGAGTTTTGTCAAGGATCTCCGTCAGAATGACTGGGACCGTTTCTGCACGAGCAGAAATGACTTCTCTCTGTCAGACATTCATAGATCTTTGTATTAAAGGAATCACTGCATCAAAATATTTATTGGTGTTGTTTATAGAGTGCAGGCCTTGAAGGCCTGTTTTAATGGAACATATAAATTGAGTAGAGCTGTATCTTCCTGCTCTAATCCTGCATATTGGCCCTTATCTTCGGACACATAAAACTAATGCTTTAGGTTCATCTGGAGAGCATGTGATTTAGGATATGGCTAATATCTGGATAGATCAGCTTTATCTCCAGGTCCAGGGAAGGGATGGAATGGCTTAAATGTATTTGTGATTTTTGACTCTCATCATTATCTGGTGAAAAAAAGGTTGGCATATCGAACCAGAAGCAGAAGTTCCAACTTAAATGAAACTTAATTTGTCATAAGTAATGAAATTAAGTTTATTCAAGTAAATATATGAAGTTTAGGTTTTTATGTTAAATGTAAAAAGTAAGTTGGCAAACTTAATTTGATTACATTTTTTATTATTATTATTTTAGACCTCCATTTTCTTCTTAGTGAAATAATAGAAATTGTTTTCAAACCCTAGTGCACATTTTGACATGGCCTTTCTTGTAAGGATTTATTGTAAGTTATATCATCACCTTATGTGTATGTTAAGATTGGAAACAGTCACAGCTCTACTCAATTTCTAACAGCATATTTACTGATAACTAGCTGACATTTGTACCTCAACAAATGTGGCTTGTTGAACCAAGAGAACTCCAAGACTATTTACCGGTGTCTCCGCCTTGTGCCAAGAACTGTACATTTTTCCCACATAAAAAACAAAACACGTGAACTGTCCCCAGATTTTGACCACAGAAGTCGCAAAACATGAAACGTGGCCACCTAAAAAAAAGGCACAGTTGAAACCAGATATACCAGGAAAAGGATACAAACATCTCTCTCTGTCTGTATGGATAGATTGAGATCTATCGGTAAAAGAGTTTGTTTACACTATCAAAGTGTTAGAATTGCGCAATAATTCCCCATGTTGAAATTCCCCCCTAAGTAGTGGGGAATTTACTCTTAAAGTGTAACACAATTTGCTGTGGAGTTGTAAGTTTCTCACCTGCAGTCAGAGTTATTGTAGAATCAAGGTTTAGATCCAAATACATAAAACATTTTGAAAACTCATTGTTTTTGCAAATTTGTCAATTTGTTTTGTAAATCCAACATAACATATGCTGCTTAAAAACTACTACTACTTTAAAAAGCATTGTCATTTTTTAAAAATGATAATATTTTCTGGCATCAGTTGTAATTTTCAGTGTGAAACTGATTTCCAGCCGACGGAGGGCAGCAACGCTTCCTTCAGGCTGAATGTTTTTCTACAACGCTGAGTTCCCAGGATTAGGGCGCAGCTGTAAATGTGACAGGACATCATGTCCCGAACACTGTGTGCTTCTGTACAGTGTGCCGCAAGAAAAGACCGAGCCGCATTGAACCCGTTAAAGCGAGCCACTCAACTGAGCAATGCATTCACTCAGTTTGCATCTCGGCATCTCAGTTCATGGCTTCACATTGAGGTCAGTCGGTACAAACACTGTGTTTGCACAACAACACATCTCCCCTATTTTAAAATCTTACCATGCAAAAGTACAACGCCTGTAAAAAGTATAGGCCCTTGGGAAGTTTTACCTTTTAACTGTGCTTAAAATTAGTCATGAGCAGCTTAGTGTGACATTTTTGACAACAAAAATGTTTAATGTATAAGTAAAACTTGATTTCTTCAAAATAATGAACATTTAGAAAAAACATGTAACCTAAAATAACTGTGTAAACATTCATCCCCGTCCTGTCCGCATTTAGTATATGCACCTGGGATTTGACTGGGCCACTCTAGAACATCCACCTTGTTGTCTTCAAACCATCTCTGTGTAGCTTCAGCTGGATGCTTCAGGTTGTTTTCTGGCTGGACGGGAAATGTTACCTGAAGCCGTAGTTCTATAATGGAAGCTAATTTTCCTCCAGGATTTTTTTGCTGCATTTATTTTACCTTCTACCCAGGGCTTGAGAGGCATTATGGCACATTGTTCGATCCTCCATTCACTGACATGAGACTGGCATAATTTAGCCAAATAAATATGACACAAATCTTTTTTGTCAACCCATTCATCAGTTTTCCTGAGGGATATACCTAATCCAGTGAGTTAGAGATAAGCCAGCGGAGATGAATATAGGCCAAGGGCAAGGAAATAAGAACATTAAAACACAGTGGCAAAAAAGAGAAGTACTAATAAGTTGTAGTCCAGACTAGAATTAATTTCTGTTCCAGTTACTAAAATATGATGTACAAGAAGATTGAGCTTTTGCATTTGAATGTTGGCCTCATCAAAAACACCTCTGAATTAAATTTTGCCTTTGCTTGTTTATTTTGCTTGTAAAATATGGATAAATATACTATCTTTGTGTGTCGTGAACATACTGGAATTTTATCTTTTCAGCATGCAGTCGAGTTCTCGAGAGTTTGTCTTGGATGTGTGAAAGGATTGTCTTTATGTGTCTTCCTTCTCCGGGGAGCTCCAGGACCGACTCCGGAGAGCCCACAGCGTCACCACGGCCCCTTCACAGCCCCTTCACAGCCCGGCCAAGTCTCACTCTCAGCGAGGCGTTTCAGTGCAGTTGTTGTCCTGGACACCACAATTTCATCCAAGCCCTGAAAAATCATCTATTTCTTAAGATCCTGATCCTGATTGTTCATAATTGTCTCTGCAATATTGTTTGATATTTATTTAAATATACTTATTTACTTTTTTTTTTTGCACTGCCTTTGAGAGTTGCTATTTTTTAATTTTCGTTTTTTAAATGTCTTGTACAATGACAGTAAAGAAATTCCGATTCAGAGGAGTGACTGCCGAAAGTCAATGACTCGATGCAATCTGCTGGGTTCCCTTAGATGCAAAATTTTCAAAACTGTTTTTTTAATAATGAACTGAATTACTGCACTGTTTGAGAACCAGGATCAAATGGAATGAATATATATTTTTTGTGAAGAGCCTCAAGACAACATTTGTTGAATACTGATGGTATAGAAAAGAAAACTGAACTGAACTGAAAAGACGGCCTGGTCGCTTGAAAGGAAAATTTAAAAACATGGTACTGCATTAAAATCATAAAGCACTGAAAGGTGAATCCATTTATAGAAAATGAGACAAACTGTGCGATAACTGCAGACTTGTTTGGAGTGATAACTTTGTTTTTCCTGCCGTGTTGTTATTAAAAGAATAACCATCATCTGGGCCAGTCCAGGCTATGTGGAGCAAGCTACAGGGCATTTAAAGTTTGTTCTCACAGCAGATTAAAGGCAGGTGGATTAGGATTACTCCGATCCATGTGTGTCTGTCCACACTTCCAGCTGCCTCATGGGAGAAGTGAGGTCAGGAAGTGACGATCGCTGGGATTAAAGCGCTGACTTCGGTCAAAGGACAGACCGAGTGCACATACACACAGACACACACACAACGTCACAATCTGACGTTAAACGAGAGCCGGTGGTAAAATGTCAACAGTTCAAACACAGTTCATGAGTGAGTCTGAGCTCACGTTTAAAACATGAATCAGTGAACTATGTACCGTCAATTTGAGACTGATGTTCATCTCTGAGGTTCATCTAACAGTGATTTTAAATGACCCAATAAATATATTGTGAATGTATGAATTCAACAATTATAAAATATCTAAATGGTTCTTCCAGCTGCCTGTTTGGCTTAACTTCATTTTTGCTTCTTTTTTTTTCACATTTAAAAAAAGATGTGAAAAGGAGGGAAAAGGTTGCACATATTTCTTTCTATATTTTTACTTTTATAAACATGTGGTTGTATTTGAGTTATTTCTATTGGTTTTATTTCATTTTTGAACGTTCTATCTGGTCTAGGAGTCAGGAAATTTCTTAGATATGTTAAAAACATTAACAGGAGATCTACAGGTATAAAAAAGCAACAACAACATGTATTTCCCCAATATACAGAAATTTAAGAGCAGTTGAGAAACTGACGTCTACAAAATAATCTTAATGCTTTTTGACTCCAGTAATCCACAGTGAGAGACCCACAGACAGTGGAAACACAGAAGAGCGGTTCGTCTTCCCAGCAGCTCCCCGGCCACAGGAGGTCACAGAGAATCCAGGATGTTACGTAAAGCTCCCAGCAGGGGGTCTTCGAGGTGATGTCAGAGATCATGAAGCGTTCACCCCCAAGGATAATTATTTTCTTATTGTTTTTAAAAATCAGTCTTGACTAATAAAATCTGGCTTTTTGACTAAACAAATGACCAAAACAAATAAAACTGAAAAAAACAACAGAAAAAAAAGAAGAAGAAATTTGTAAGGTGCAAATCCCTCAGCACTGGAGTTAAAATCTGCGAGCAGCTTGGAGATAATGTTGTGTTTCAATAAAGAGAGATATAGCAGTAAGGCTTTTCTGGAGGAACCTTCCTAAGACTGGATTCTGTTTGTGTTCACGTCACAGCGAACGGTCGGCGCCACGTGTCTCCCTGGAACAAGGCAGCAGAACTGGGTCAGCCTGGTCTGAGCGAGACAGACAGCTTGTCTGTGTGGTTCTAACCCGATGCTAAGCTCCTCCACCATCACTCCTGGTTTTAACTTTTGAGTCATCATTTCACTCTGCAGCCTCTCTTATGACGTTCTATCTGTTCTAGGTCTATCTTAGTCAGATCTGTGTCGTAAAGATCTCATGTCTTTCCTGTTCCCCTACCAAATGCACAGGGTAGGGTTTTTTCCCCGTCCACTCTGAATCTCTGATGAGGAGTTCATGCAGAGTTCACACAGGGGTCACATAAAAACACAGCAGACCTGACATTAGTCAGCCATCAGTATTTCCTCATGGACATACTGGACACTGGCTGGACACTGACACATTTTTATATTCATCGCTGATGTAATCTATTGTTTAAATGTGATCTATTTCAACATTTTATTTTATGTTAAAATGACAGACAGACAGATGGCTGACAGAAGGTGTTTTTAAGCCAAATGTAAAGTGACTATTTCTATAAATGGAGCTCGAAACATACAGCAGGAAAAATCATTCAGAAGAATAACATTGCACTAAAGTGTTGTGTACTTTACGTTTTCTGAGAGGAAATCTCTAAATATTCGCTCCAAATGACCTCCATGCTCCCCGCTTTCTGAGCCGCCCTGTCAGTTTCTGTCCTGTCCGTTGGCATGTCGAGGAATAAGGCTTTAGCACTTTATCCCTCGAGATATATGAACCTCGCAGACATTAAAACTGAAGACATGTTAAAGTCTTCATCGTTAAAACACTAATAAAGCCACGTCAGTAAATCAAAAATGTTTAATAATAAAGCAAGTTTTTAGCCGACGTTTCAGCAGACATGCACTTCTACCGAAACATCTTTATTCCTGCTGACATCCAAACTATTGAGTTCCCTCACTTTCTATTCTGATAATGCAAAGTTTATCAGGGAGTTAATATTTTTCAGCTTTTTTCGTTTGCTATAATAAATGTGCTTTTCAAATAGCCTCTATTTCCCCCCAAAAAAATCTGCCCGGAGTTTGTAGATTATGAAGGGATAAAGTAGAGCATGCAGGGAGAGCATTATTAGGATTCATGTGAAAAGGTGGCATTATCTATTTTAGCAACCATAAAAATCGAAAGCAGCACTAGTCACATCTTGGACTTCTTCCCTTTCACAAAATGACTCATTAAAAACTTGAAACACCTTGATACGGTCAGAGTCCAGTGTTCGAAAGCAGATAAAGGAACTGATCAATAAGTCTTTTATGAGAAGCTGAGGCCTGAACAGAAAGGCAGAAGCCATTAGGCCCATTAAAGATTACTCAACCGCATCAGACAGGATGCTGAGCATATTGTTTTGGCTTCCTACATGTCCACACTGAGAAGAAAGATCACAAAGTCTTCACGCATTAGACGGCATATGGTTGAAAGGACAGAAGCTAATGGAAAACTTGATGATCAATAAGACAAAGAAAAACAAATATATTTCAGAAATCAATATGCCGAGCCCATGTGTGGAGCTCAAAATGTCAGATATTTACTGCATATTTTTTTTTATTGTTTACTTGTCGCTTCTCCCAGCACACACACACACACACACACACACACACACACACACACACACACACACACACACACACACACACACACACACACACACACACACACACACACACACACACACACTCCCGACATTTTGTCTTGTTCATCTCAGTTCTCTGTTCAAAATTAGCATTTCAATATTTTATGATGAATCTGTTCGCTGGAGTTCATCTTATGTCAGTCATTTTACATTTATTTTAGTTTTTATCTGATTAGATTCAGTGATCATGTAATTTTGCATAGAGCTCTTCTATTTTAATTCACCTAATTTTGGGCTTCATCTTTTAACAAAAACATTCTCATTCTGGGATACATGTGTTTCTTTTCTCAATCAACACTGAATAGAAGGACCAAGTAATCATCAGGCGTGACAACAAAGGTTGACACCTGATGATTGTCCAGAAATCCAGCCAATCGTTGGATTTCTGGACATCAAAATCGATGACCTGATGCTGTGATGACCTTCCCCGAGTGAAAAAACAGGAATAATGTACTGAAGTATATTTTAGTATGTTATCAAGTGGGTATGCTTATTAAGCTTATACTAAAAGTGTAAAATAAATGCATTTTTAAAAACATGCTTCTGATGCTCTTTTTGAAAATGTATTTCTGGTAAACTTTCTAAAAGTGTATTTTCTCTAAAATATACGTTAAATTCCAATTAAATATATTACTAAAGTTATACTTTGCATAATTGTTTAAAAAACACACTTTGCGTGTATTTGTATGAATGCGTGTTTTAAATGTACATGTAAATATACAAACGATACTTATCTGAAGTGGTACCTCTGGTGGTATGTTCAGTCATTCTGTGTATATTTTAGTGAACCTTAAATCTCAAAATAAATACATTTCAGAAATATTTGTAAGCGCTTTGTAAATTAGACTAGTTATATTTCAATATATATTTCTGTCACTAAACCACGGAGACCATATTTACATAATCCATTTCCAGATGAAGTTCTCAGTGAATGGCATTAGCTGCAGGTCACACTCCAGACCAGATGGAGGCGGTAATGTGCGAGTGCGTATATAATTTATTCTAAACATTTAAATGCAACCAGAACGATTGATGGAATCTGAATCTTCCATTTGCATTTGAAAACAATTTCCAGATTGCAGGATGGTTTTAGTTTGACTCGATCAAAGGCCGTCTGGTATTTCTAGGCTGATAAAACTGAATTAATCCGACGGGAATTCAACCTCCTGTGGCTTGAAAACACACTGCTGGTCACAGTCGTCGTAAAACAAAACAATCTTCTGCTTGCCAGGCTTGGATGTCCTCACCGAATCACACACCGACTTCCATGAATAAACGTTTTAAGCTTTTATTTGCAGAAAAGTTGTCAAAGATATTTACAGCAAAATAACAGATGCTTTCCTCAAACATCTAATGGCTCCTGTCAGCTTTATTAACAACAACAAAGTCGCTATTTTACACCTGAAAGACAATTTTGTACACACTAAGACATGGAAAGAGTTCAAGATATCGTCCACAAGAGTTCGAGGAGGGTGTGGCTCTGTGCAGCATTTACAGTGAGGCAATTAAATCTTTTGTTGCATAGTGTTTAAGTGAAGTTCTCAATATTCTGCAAAAGGGTCCATGGAAAAACAGCAGCAGAGCAAGTGAGCACAAACTGTGACATAAACTATGACCTTTCACTGCGTTTGGTGGCTATAAAGATGAAACACAAAACGGGACAGAATTAACACCTTCCAGGTAAAAAGGAAAAAAAAAGCTAAAGAAAAAAAAAGAAACAGCTCTATTACACTGTAGAACTGAAACCTTCACAGTTTGATGTTTGGTACCCTTTAACATCTACAGCTCCTGTAAGGGTTGGACATTTCATTTTACTGTCAGATGTCATTTCATTTCACACTGAATATTTAATGCAGAACCAGCTGCTGGCATTGTGACCACACAAGTTACTGAGAGCAAAAACACATGGCTGAGCAGGAAAACATGACCTGCCATGCTGAGAGATTAAAAGCTGCAGTCGAAAAAAAAAAATTTGTTACATATCTGTTGAAACTGTCACCAAATCGTGATAAAGAGTAAAGTTTCCTTTCCAGGTTCTGGTTAGTAAACAACTAATTAGGTGTTGGTGCCATCAATCAACAGCTTCTTCCCTCTTATGAAGGCTAAGACTTGTTAGCATAGCCACCAAAGATGGCGGATAAACGGTTTTCCTGTACTGGTTAGTAATCTTGCTATTAGCGCTGAGACCCTCCTCCTGGCTCTGATTGGTCATTTTTGGTCGGGAGGAGTGCATTTCTTCAGCCTGCAACAGGAAGGAGGTGGAGGAGATCAATCTTTTAAGAATGTCTCATGACATACTGTCACGACGCGGTGATAGTTTTAAATACATATTAAAAAATATTTTTTACAAGTTACATAATTCATTTGCTGTTCTCGGCAACCTGAGCTCATAGACTTGACTGTGGTACGTTCTGGATCAGTCGTTGACTTTAGCGTGGAGAAAGCCCACTGAAGTCCATCGTTCTCCAACAACTACAGAAGCCTTTGAAAACAAAAGCAGCCTTCTCAGACTTCCATGCAGAATTAATCTACATATGATTTTCAATCTTCCTGTTTATCTCATGCCAGTCTGAGCATCCAGATCTGAGCATCCAGATGAACCCAAAGGAGGGTTAAATACCACCATCTGCCTTCAGATTATCCTGGTAAAACCCTTATTGGAGCTGTAGTTTATAAATTGACGTACTATGGCTCATGGGTAAGATGTACATTTAGTCAAGACTCTGAGAAAAGGACAGGTGTTGGTTCCAGCCAGAACCTCTGAAGGAAGAATAAAACACAGAGTAACACAGGAGGTAAGATGCTTTCCTACTCAGCCACTGTGCACCCTATCCTCACACCTAAGACGTTACTACAGACAATTGAGGGTGATGAGTGTTAAGCACGAGGTAGGATCACGCTGCAGAAGAACTAAAACAAGTCACAGAACTGCTGTGGCTGCAGAGCCAAGTCACTGAAGGACACTCATGTCCCAAAGAGAGGCTGGTGTCAACATTTCATGCTTTCTCTCTCTGTAGGCCGTTTGTTCAGTCATATTCCCCTGGAAGTCCTTCAAGCTCTGGATTTTTCATTTGCCTTTAGGGCTCCATAGCAGACAAGTCCAAACGTTCTGTGATTTCCTGTCTAACCAGTCAGCAGGCTACAACCCAAAGAGTTCAAATCACTTCAATAAGAGAGAAGGAACCAGAGAAAAGGATGCGTGTCTCCGTGTGCCTTTGGGATTATTCTCAGATGGTACAGCTTGCAATTTCCTGAAGAAACCCCCAAATGCACCGTACAATGAAATATTTAAAGACTCGATACTGTTCACGTGTAAAAGCTACAAAGTAACCTACTTCACATCATCCAAACCCGTTACAAGCTTGAAAATACATAAGGTGCAATGCTGGAAATGGCTGAAATCTGCACATTTTCTAATGTATATGGAGGTTTTCTGTCAGCCTGTCCAAAATGCCACACTCAACCTCTACAGAAAAACATTCAGTTGCTAAAACATCTGCTAGCGCTGGAAAAAAATCATCAAAAAGTGACTCCTTGGTCATGAAGAACTCTTATGGCAAAGAAAAACCGTGTGCACTTGGTCCATGAGGGGCTCTTTGGTTTAAACAGGAACTAATGCCCGGTAACACGAGTTTAAATTCTCTTGTTTGGTTACAACTGCACGGGTTGAAAGGCCTGATATGACGAGTCCACTTCATCTCTAAAAACCTATCAGATCTTCATCCTTCTGCCTCTGGAATGTGGCGCAGATCATTGTCAACACACATCGCTATCGTTCTCTGTTTTTAAGATTCTGGGAGATTTTTCTGATTCCTAATTGCACCTCAGTGTTGAACTCTGAGAGACCCCCCCCACTGTCTCCTCTGAAATCATACCCGCTTGATGAATCATTCAAAAAGTGTCACAACATTAAAAACAAAAGTGTTTGCACATTTTGCCAGCCTGAAGCTTCACAAGCTTGCAGACGTCTCAGGTTTCCATCTTGGTTCAGGACCTTCAGGATGAATTCTCCCGTAGATCCAGTCGACTCGGGGTGAATCCTCTTAAAGGCACAGGGATGTTTGAGGGTAGCAGTCATCTGCTCTTCAGAGTTATTATAATGCTTTAATCAGTGAGAACACGGCTAACCTGCCTCATAGTTCACTACAGTACAAAAGTGAAGGAAGAACAAACTCATAAAACAAACTAGATTACAAAATGAAAGCTGCTTTCTGATCCAGCCAGCACTCTGACTTGCCTCTGGCATTGTCCATCTCCCCAATAAGCTAATAGAAAAAAAAGAGATTGTAACAAGTTTATTTGCATATTTTTTCTGCCCCAGAGGTTTGGAATAATGCTCCAGTTTGTCTTGCAGCTCAGTTCTAGATTGTGAGTCTTCACATTTCAGGTTGTCAGAGTCGTTTTCCCTTCCTCGTCCACTGCCACGGAGACAACAGGTCTGCAGAGAAACAGAGTGAAGAGGTCAGAATGAAGCGACGACACACACAGTTACTTTTGAGGACGTCAGTTCTTACTGTCAACGAATCTCTTTATGACGAAAGAAACCTAACTTTTACCATCCACCTCCAGCTTTGCTTCGTCTCATTCAGTGTCCGAAACCAAAGTTAAATTTTTATTCCTCAAAACCTTGAGCTCTGTGAGTTTACTCAGCACAAATCTTCTCTTTCTTTTTTCACAGGCAGAGAGGTTTAATTTTACTCTTTGTAGTTCTTCAAAATCAAAACTGAACAAGGACATGATGTCAAAATAAGTCCCAGGTTGCTCGATTATTCTGCAGAGCAGTGGGAAGCAACGACCTCAGGAAAGAGCAGCTGCACTGGAATCGCCTTACTGGACAAATATCATGTTTTCTGTTCTCTGAACCGATAATGTTGGGATTTGCTGTAGGTTCAACTAAATAAACTGCAACACCTTGTGCATTTAGGATTTGCTTAGACATTTAATATTTAAAAATGTAGTAACTTATTTACATTTCTAGAAGTGGTTTTGGTTCTGGTATAGGGTGAGATAATGTCCATCAACCACAATGGTCTGTCCAGTTATCCAGCTATAATTTTTGTGTATATATTTAGTCCTGTGGCACAATAATTTTTTAGAAAATCATACATTTTCAAAGGCAAGCTCCATGTTGTTTATTTTGAGCCCTATAAAAGAAATTGTTCACTTGGTAGGTGAAAAAGGTACAAAGAAAAAAAATATATAGATCCACTTATCTATAAATATACAGTAATATACATACAGCAAGAACAAGACAGCTATCTTTTCATTGGCCTTAAAATTACGCAAATAAGAACAACAAATATAAATTTGCTTAATGGAAACAACATTGTCAAAAGAACACGTTTCTCAATAAAGACTTTTGAGTTAAAATGAAGTAGTTTTTCAGCTGCATCAAAAGTATTGTAAACTGCAATGGAAGCACTTTTTTTTCTTTTTTCAAATCATGAGTCATGTGATCAACAACCAGATATTGTCACTGGCGCAAACCATGAAGAAGACAACAGGAAGTAGTTGGAGCATCATGGCGCGGCAGGGTTTTGTTATTCACATGTCCTTTTAATTGTGTTTGTAATTCAATTACAACACCTCAAATGTGAAATTGTGGCGTTGTCACCAAAGTTTTGGACTTCATGCTCCATGAAGACCATGGACTTTATGTTCCTCCTTAGCACTGTGAGAGCTGCTCTGCGTTGTGCTCAGTTCATGTTCAGACTGAACTTCCATCCCTCTTCCAAACAGATACAGGTTTGTTCTCTCTAGATTATCTCCAAGGGAGGCGTTGCTGGACAACAGACTGGCAGAGAAATTTGTCAAATACATCTAAAAATATAGATGAAACATCAACTTATATATAATGAGATTTCAATATTCCAGAGTAAAATCATCTATGTTTTTATGTTAATATTCATGAATGAAAATATGTGAAATAATTTTTTGAAATTTCCAAATATAGACTTTTTTGTTTTTTTTAACAAATATTCAGTTTACATTAATTTGTTGCATGCATGGGCCACATACATAGTACCTAGTTTAGAATGGTCCTAACCAACTGTACAAGTATTGGCACCATATGTCATCAAAATGCTAAATCCATCATGTATTCGTATGTGTGGAATCAAACAGGATATGTGGCTGTGCTTGAGCAGAAGGGAAGGAGACCAAGTGTTGTTGTGGGGAAGCGTCTCAGCTGTAGTTTGCTCCTGGAGGGAAGCTTGCTGAACCTGCGTCCATGTTGCGTTCAGCGCTCGGCTCTAAGAATAGCCCAGCAGCTGCTCGTTCCCCTTTTATAAGTTGCATAACAGCGGAGCACATGTTAGGAATACAAGCTCAGTAGGGGGCATGCGAGCTGGAGAGCCTCAACCAATCCCACTGCATCCACTCCGTACTGCTGACTCAGGATTTCTAGTATATCACCTCTAAACTTGTGCATAGTTTTTATTCAAATCTGTCAATCAGGAAAAAAACACAAACCACCCAGACAGTAAACATGTAATTTGAGGCTATATTCAACTCCATCAACTTTGGGCTTAGTCCACTTCTTCCCAACAGAAAGATAAGACTGCCTCCATCTGACTCCAAGTTTCAGCAGCAATTAAAACATCTTAATTGCTCAGGAATATTTTGATTATTTTTACTTGATCAATTACAATCTGATTACCTACAAAGAGTTCTTCAGTAAGCACAACAAGACCAGCCTTGTCATATGTTCTGTAAGACCAGTACTGTCTCTTTCCTCCTATAAACTGCTCATGTCTGAGTCTAATGCCTGACCTGACCAGTGTTGAAATGTTTCAAAGCTCTTTTGTTTAATTGCAAGAGAAAATGATTGGAGAACAGTCAAAGAAGCCCAAATAAGAAGAAAGTGGAAGCGAATATTCCCTCTTATCTGCATTTCAATTTGCTTATAACAATGCCCTGCATCACCAGCCTTTTGACGACATGGAGCTAAGTTTACATCATCAGCAGTTTCATAGAAAAGCTGATGAAACGTGTTGATTTGCATGTTTTACCACCTCAAAACAACTCAGAGCCAGCAGGAAAGCCAACGTTCCCCCTCTAATGGAAATGAAGGGAACTGTTAGCATCGTAAGCATACAAATGAGAGCTGTTCAAATTAAAAGCAGATGTTCCTGTTCCACCTCAGCTCTATCTCATCTCACACTTCAAGTGTATTTCACAGCTTAAAGTCCTGATTTAAAGGCTACATTTCCATGAGACCACTGTCTGGTATTTTCAGATGTTGATTGGAGAAAAGTTCCATGTTTCGACCTCAAGTCAATCTATTGTTCATGCCAAGCCGCTAAGTGGCGCTATGATTTTTGCACGTCATTGAACATGCATGCACTTGTAACTCTTCGCTTCCATTTCATTCGCTTCCACCTCATTGTAAAAGCAACCCGTCCAACCAAGCAACAAAGATCTGTTCTTCAGCAGGAATTGTGTTAAACTCAACAGGTTAAGTGGCAGAGCGCAGCACAATGCTGTCTGCCATTGTTATTGTTATCTGCCTATGCATGTGTAGAATGGACCCTGCAATCGTTCATTCTGCGCCTCCATGGGGGATCGGCTCACTTCGAGATATCGCGCCCAAAACCATCTGACGTGAGAGACTCCTGTCACTAGAGACGTGTAAACAAATATCTAGACCACACCAAAAGTGTTATACTTTCACTCAAAATTACATTTTTATTGCAGTGGGAACATCTCATTCATCCATTCATCTTCTGCTGCTGCTGCTGATCAGGGGTCAGGTTGCGGGGGCAGCAGCCCAAGTAGAGAAAACAAATTGATCGATAAATCAAGCCTTTTGACTCAGCTCTCTCTTCACCGTTACAGCACCCACTTGACTGTAGACCCCACTCCAATTTTCATTCTTTCATTTGTGAACAAGATCCTGAGATACTTGAACTATTCCACTTGGGGCAGGACCTCTTCCCCGACCCAGAATAGACACTCTTCTCTTTTCCAACCCTTTTCGTTCTCATAATGTCAAATTATGACTGTCGCTATCCTACGTCATACCTGGGTTTTAAAGTAATATTTATGCTGTGATATTTACAAAATGTCAGATCTTCTTGGCAGAAGAATGCAACTACTTTTTATACAAGCGTAAGTAAAACCTGGCAATAAGTGTTGAGTCACTTATTTCTTAACTATGGAGAAAAAAAAGTTTGGGAAACTCAATGGACTAAAAATCTGATATTCCATTTAATTTTTAGGGCACACACACATAACCGCAAGAACAGTCAAGCTTAACTTTTTTTAATTTTTTTTAGCTGGACCTTAAAAGCAGGAAAAAGTACAATACATTTTCCAGTTTAAACACTGGCAGAGACACAGGATTTCCAGATCCCTCCTTATTTCAGCAGATGCTGCCACTGCCCCTTTTCATCAATTATTCACACTTAGAGAGACTGCTTTTCTACCTTATTATTCACAAAATGATCCCATTAACATCACAAAGGCACGACAATGTAACCCCACAAAGCATGTGACAGATCCCTTAGACTTAAAGGGGATTGAGAAGTGTAAACCAATTAGATCCAACACAGTCACCATGAATGAGGACAGCAGACTGGAAAAGATGTGGACAAATGTTATTCTAAAGCACGGCGTAGCCACAGTTAAGCCTCTGCTATCCATGAACTGTACATTTCTATAGAAAAGAAGAGATAATAGACCAAATTTATGACCAGACTCAGGCTTTTCCTCTTCCTTAATTTAAGTCTGATTCATTTTACCGCAACTTTTAACGCTATAGATCTGGGAATCTATTTTTGTGAATTTTCTGCTCAATTCTGTTAAACTTTCTGATAAACAAAAACACACTGAGGTGTTTTAGTCGACCAGTTATGCAACAGCTCGCTTGTGTAACTGGCTCTGAATCCCAGAAGAGACATTTTTTTACAGCCTCCCCAATCACTGAACCCAGACTTTTACAAGCATGCTATGGGCACAAATGTGATGGACGCTGCCAATTCTCAGAGAGGTGCCTCCCCCCGGTTCCCCAACTGCTGTTCAGAACATGTTGTACAGTACAGTGTCCTTCAGAGGAGCACCATCAAAAGTTTGTATTATCTGAATACAAATGCGTTTGAGGATCAAACTGCAAAGCAGCAAAGCCTTGGAGGCATTGGCATATTCATGAGAACCGCTCTGCGCGGTGAAATGCCTCGACTTGTAGAACGATTATCAGTGCTGTCAATTGAAAAATAAAAAAATTAATTGATTGCTGAAGTAATGAGTATGCACACAGGAAGAGAGGAGCTATCAGAGCAGTGGCCTGTTTAAGACAGAGAGGCGTAAGCTTGGCACGCAGCGAGGGGACACAATGTTCCTGACCAAAGCCTCCATAAGCCTTGAACCTGCAGCACTCGCTGTCCAGCAGTGGAATCAGATGGGAGTTTGAGGACTGATCAGATGGACGTCAAAATAAAAACATGCACATGATTTTCAATATTCTGATTTCACCTAAAGGCAGCTATGAATGACATTTTCACTATAAGAGCACTTATAAAGACCCAACACAGTAAAGCACAAATACTAATTACCAATCGGGTCGACACGATTCATTGGATGATTTCAGAACCTCAATGTTTAAAATTCTTCAAGGGAAATGGTCTGTATTGAAGGTTCATTAAACAGTTTTACTATTTATCTTGCTGTGTTCCTGCTGGATAATGGTTCCGGCTGGAACACAGCACTTCCAGTGCTAAATGCTATTAGCATCTGTGCAGGGAGGCGGCGGGGGACAGAAAGAACTGCCACCAAGAAAGAGACAAAAACTGTCAACAGTATGGGATCGCTTTAAATAGAAAAGATTGCACAGCTCACACAGTGTGTGTACTGCAGAGCAGAACTGGTGTTTCACGTCAACTTGACCCCCGACCTCAGCAGGAAACATCCATTACATGCATGGAGTTCACTGCTGGCTGCTGGGATCTGATATGCAATACATGTACAAGAAAATACTTTTAGGCTAACATTACATGCCCTTGCTGAATAAAAAGAGAATCTACCTGAAATAAAATAACTAAAAAGTGCAGTAAATTAGAAACGTCTATTTAAAAAAAATGGTTTTTACACTTCAAACTTGACTGAAGGTGATGTTTGAATTGTATTGTTTTTATTAAGGCTTATAGACTATATAATAAAAATAGATACAATAAAATGTTTTCTTATTAGGGAACAGAATAGGTTTTTTTAAAAATTTTTCTTTCATATCACTTTTATTAGCTAAAGTAGCAACTGCAGAACAGACAGTACTGCATGTGTATTTTTGTAAATGTGGATGCATTTACAGTGTATGTTTACATATTATTTTGACTTTATTCTCATAATTGAATTCTTTAAAATGTTCTTTGTGTGACTTAGTCATAGATTCTGCATAATGCAGGAGAAATAAAAGCAGGCTCCACGTTGCTCCATCATGCCTCGCAGGTTCAGCTGTGTTCATCCTGCCGTTGTCAGCTCCCTTCAGTTCAGCAGCTGCAGACATGAACACCCCAGGAGCAGGTCCAGCAGCCACTCCTCCCCTTCTTTCCAACACTAATCACTAATCCTTCTTTCCAACAGATGACAGCTTTATCAACTGAACCAGTGCTAGCCTGTTGCGTAACCATCTATCCCATCGTGCCACGAGAGAACGAGGCCAATCGGAGGCAGCAAGGAAACATCCCGATTGCTCTGCCCCGAGTGCCCCCCACCCTGAGCAGCTGGGTGGTGTTATGTCACAGCATGAGCAGCCTATTCTGATGAAGAGCTAACAGAATGGCTGAAAGGAGCGCCGAGCTAATTTGCCAAACAAACCCAGAACTCAGGCCTGGTCAGTGGAGAGTTTAGGTTCAAACAGCCTGCGCCCAGTTTGGGTCGCTGAGCATCCACTACCGTGGCAGTTTGATGTCATCCGGGGAGCTTCTGCTCCAAATAGCAAACTGAGACAATTAAAATCTTACATTTTATTGCACTGCTGCCACTACAAACACATTTTTACTAAAGAGTTTAGAGGGGAGAATTTACATGCAAGATTAAAATAATCTCTCTTTAGATTTAAAAATGTGGGCCGTTATCAGTTGTATAACTAACCTACCAACTGAAGTTGATGATCTAAATGAATGTGCCAACTATAATCATGATACAAATGTTCAAACTGTTTCACTCCTATTTTGTTGCAAGAGCGTGGAGCCGTTTGCCTTGTACATTAACGTGAACGAATTGAAGTTTAGGTCAGAGTGCATCTAAGATATCTACTGAAAGTAGGGCTGTATCGACTCTTCAAATGATTCAAGTATCTCAATTATTACAATTCCTGGAGGCATATTATTATCTACCTCAAAGTGCTAGCAGCTTAACGTCTAATTTTCAAGTTTGGTCCAGGAGAATTTTATTGACTTATGGTGTCTACTGATTGTTTTTCTGGGGATCAAAAGCAAGATGCATGGAGTCTCCTACCGGAGCTGCTTCCTGGTGGCCGGTTCAGAGCGAACGGCGGGGAAGCGTGCGGCGGGTGAGCGGATAGCCTGAACACAGCATTTGGCTGTGCTGTAGTTGATGCTTAACACAAGTGTAACTTTACAGACGAACCAGAAAATATATTTACCACCATTCCAGTCTCAGCAACTGGGTGGCACAGTGCATTGTGGCTGTACTGGTAGATGCGTTTCTGTGTGTGACGGAGGAGGCAAATTCAGTCGTCTACATGGAAACAAAAGTATGTGGATAGTGAGAGTTTGCCTATTAAACTGACTGAAGATGAATACATGAAGGGAAAACTTGTGTATAGACATCTTTGCAAGTCTCTTTGTGAGCCTGCCTCTATTATCCTACGAGTTTGGGGATTTATTTTTGTGTTAGTTGTCATGTGGCAGCCATTTTGTTTTTCCCTATAGAGTCTACATGGTTTAGCTGAAGCAGTATTTAAATGCCCTTATGTCCTTTCAGGAGGTCAGTCCGCCTTACTCAGTTTGGGGTTTTGTCAGTTTTCTCGTTGAGTTTAGCATTTTGAGTTGACTTCCTTTATTGGCAGGCCTGTCTAATTGTTGTGTTAATCATTCCTTGGGGGTAAATAAAATTAATTTCAGCGTCTCCATTCGGCACCGTTTGGTCCTTGACAATGGCACACCTCTATTCACAGCCTGCTGTTAGAGCACTTCACATAATGAGCATGCAATGCTAAAGACATTCGGTGACGACATCTTGTTTTGGGCTTCACTCACACATCACAGGTATTAACATCTAATCAAAGGCTGTTTGCCCTAAGGCTCAGATTGTACCCTTTCTGGTTCCCAGTGGCAGCATAAATGCTGACTTCCATTTCTGATCTGCAGCTCTCTGGTTACCACACCCTAAGTTTTCTTTTCTTTTTTTTTTTAATCCCGTTTGAAACAGGATTTTAAAAAAAAACAGAAAAAAAGGTTGAAAAATGTTTTGATTTCTATTTTGACTAGATTTAAAGCCCTGCACTCTAAAATGTGTTTTGGGCTGTAGTTAATTTTGTACACTTGTTTACATTAATCTCACTTAATTTATTTGGTCCAGTGATGACATGATGACAACTTACTTTCAATTAACTTAAAAGTTACAAAACTAACTGACTCAAATTAACTTGCATTCTAAAAAGTGCATTTCAAACAATTAAGTTCAACGCCGTGTTTGCATCCTATGTCTGACTTTATGACAAGATTCACCAGGGATGGATTCTGCACCAACTGTGACGGCACAGGGGTAGAGCACAACTCACATAAAGAGATCTTAGTCCTCATTGTGACCGTTGTAGGTTTGGTTCAAGCCTGATGATTTTCGCTCTCTGTCATGACCGACTTTCCTGTCTAACTACTCTAAAAGGCCGTCTGAGCCAAAAAAATGACTGAGTTGAATGAACGTAATGAATTGAATTAGTTAATCATAATATGTTGAGTTTATCTAACTCAACATATCAAACTTAATTGAATTACTTGCCACCAATTGAAGTAATTCAATTAAGTTGGTTCAGCTAATTTCTTTTTACAGTGTAGATAGGGGATGCTGCCCAGGTATGTTTGAAGTCGAACATAAGAAAACATGTTCACAATGTTAAATTCTCATGTTATTTATTTTTTTTATCTTTGAGAAATGCGAGAAAGTTAATACTTGTTAAAGAAAATTTCTACACAATTCCACTAGATTCTCATCTTTCTTCACTGCTTCTTTAGGGATTTCTCCTATTGAACTTGATTTCTCCGGTAAGATTTCAACCGGGCCAATCAGGAAACCGGAGCGTTAGTGATTGGGTAATATTCAAAACTAGAAATTACTTCTCAACAGTTAAGGGTCCAAACATTATGGACGAAGCAAAGAGTAGAACTTGCTTTCTCATCATCGCGCTCTTGTGCGCGAGTGTTGGTTCTAGTGGGCTGCTTTATCTGCTGACTGCTGCCCAGCCGCTCCGAATGTCTTTTTTCCTGCATTGAGCCTCAATGTAGCCAAACTCCATCAAGTGTTTGTTTTTTAAAAGGTATATTAGACCTGTTGTGTTGATGCATTTTGATGTGCTTCAACCCAAGGTATTTTGCCATCGCAATACGCAAACGTCCCTTGCGTTAAAGTTTCATACAACATTGTTTAGGATTTGTTGCTGCGCGCTTGCGCAGTGTGAAGGAAAGAGGAGATGAGCTGCACATTCAGGCTGCAAAGTGAGATACAGGTGATCGGTTTTGGTTATCGGCAACAAGAGACGGTGATCTGCGATCACCAATCATACACTTTTGATTGATCGGCACACCACTAATTACTACTAACATGGAAGAATGAGAGGCAGCCTACCTGGAGAGGAAATGGGTCCCTTCTTGGATCGGTTGGGGCAAAAAAGGAAAGGTTAGAAGTGTTTGTCATGCAGCAAAAGTGACTTGATCCATTCGTATTTCCAGTTGGAGAGCATCTGGTCGATCCTGAGGGTTTACTGCAAGCATGTCCATAAGGAGTTTCTTTACCCCTTCAGTCATAGAGCTCCTGGCCTTCTGAGGGATGTGCAGAACCATCTTAGGGTTCTCCAGCAGAGCTTCCCCAACAGGAATGATCTCAGAGCCCTGTCGAACGTAGGTGCCCAGTAGTTCACGCTTCGACTCTGCATCAATGAACGTGATTCTTTCGACCATTGCCCAAATGATGATGCCAAGGGCAAAGATGTCAGCTTTAGCTGTGTAGTGGCCCTCCCAAACCTCTGGGGCCATGTAAAAGTCTGAGCCGCAAGCTGACGATAACCAGAACTTGTTGATGTTGACAGTGTTGTACTGGTTGCTCCCTTTGCCACCTGCTCTCGCTGTAGGATCTTCTTCACTGGTCTTGGAGGTGAGTCCAGCACAAACCTTACTGAGACCAAAGTCTGCTACCTTAAGTACAGGTGAACCAGATTTCTGTGAAATGAGAATGTTGTCTGGCTTCAGATCCCGGTGGACAATGTTGTTCTTGTGAAGGAAAGCAATGGCACTTGTTAGCTGGAGCATGAAGCTGCTGTTGGTCTGGGGGTCGGGTCGCCGAGACAAGATGTACTGGTTGAGGTCCCCACCTTCACAGAACTCCATGACAAACCAAAGGTAGCATGGCTCCGCTGGGTAACCAAGGATGCGCTCACCTTAGGATTACAAGAACACAATACTTTGTTATAACTCTAAAAGTAAAAAAATCCCCAAAATATGAAATCAAAAATCAAATAATGCTCAAGAACAAGAACACAATTATTTTCACATTAGCTCAGCATTAATGGTACAAAACTTTCTACAACTCTAAAAGCAATGGCATTTTCCAAGAAAGCAAAGGTGGCAAGGTTCTATGCCATGGCTTAAAAATGTCCCAAGTCTCTCCAGTCATTCAGATGTCTCGCTTCAACCTGAAAAGCCAGAATTGGTTTATTCATTTACTTTCATTGAGGCACATTTTTCAGTACTTCTCCAGTTTCCCAAGCTCTTTCCAAGTTTTATCTTAGAGCGCTTTTTAATTTTTCCCACCAGTACTAACCTTATAATTCAGTTAGTGATTAAAACATAACTAAATAAAACAAACAACTGATAAGTCTTTGAACAACTTCCAGCAGATTAATCATGTCTCGTCAGGCACTGACAAAGGACCAGATGATAAAGTTGTCATCAGCCCTTTGAGAAAAGCCTTGTTAAAGTGACAAGATGGTGGTAAAAATCAACAAGAATGCCATTTAGGTTGATTCTTTGTTTACTTGTTAATGTAAGAAATGTTCTTAATGTTCCAGTAATTAAAACAAGTGGACTGCAATTGATTGAAATTGAGCTTTTCCATCAGTGCTCAACTAGAGCTAGTGTTGGAACCAGTTCTGAACTGGTTCCACAAAAGAACTGGTTTGGTTTTACGCCGCCTAAGAGCAAAGCCAGTCATGTCCTGACAGTGTTTCAAAAGGTTGATCCTCCCCTGCTGTATTCTGGGTTTATGCAAGTCTTGAATAGCATGGCAACAGCTTCTTTAAAATTACCACCTTGACTCATTAAATCCTTCAACAACTCCTTTATGTCGTTGAAAATACCAGCTATAACTACGCAGAACTTTGACCTGTTTAAACTCTCTGAAGGGTTAACTTCAGGATAGACAGTAGGAAGACAGGAGGCAGGCTGTTTTAAATCTGACAAATCAAAAATGAAACTGAACGCAGGGGTTTAAGATATGGCGCTCATTGCATTTATATTGGCTGAGTCCATTTTGAGCAGGTTCTATAACAGAAATAGTTCTATTGCAGAAAGTGATTCTTTCTTCAAGTCCAGCAGTGAACTAGTGTTGTGTTAGCACTACTTTTGGGGGGTCAAAACTCAAAGTCCTGCTTGTGCAAAGAATCAGTTTGGTGGAAATTGCTTTAAGAAACAGCCAATGTCCAAATAAAAGCTTAAATTATAAATGGATTACAGTTTGGCCGGTTACCTGTTGTGGTTTTACAAAGCCACGAGAGATACATGTTACTGATTAATGAGTTAATCTAAAGATGATTGATCTGATCAACTGATTAAAATACAATTTACATGAGGCCATTTTCTTAAAAACCAGAGCTTTTCTCTTGTATCGGGATCCCTTCTATCACATGAAGGGCTAAACGTTTCACAACATACTGAATTTAGAAAAAGAAGCTGAATTTTTGTGTCAGCTGTATTACACACTGACTGAAAACACAGAAATTTGTGGTTACCATATTAAACTTAAACATTTATGAAACAAGGACGTCTTGGGTGTAACTGGACATTATTAGATTAAAATTAGTCCCATTCAGTTCATTTATAAACTATTAACCAATAATTAATTATAAGTTGACTAAATGTTTGGATCCCCATCACGTTAGATATTTTGTATTTTAAAATGTAATCATGTTTTAACACCATGAAAATTTAAATATCATAGTTTCTCCAAAGGACTGAATATACAGTATTATACAGTAATATCTTTCTGTACATTTCTAATGAACATGATGACTAATTATCCAGCCCAGTTCTAAGGTCCCTTACAGTTCAGCGGTCCAGATTCGTTATCTGGTTATTCACCACTTGCTGTACTTTACAAATCAATGTAATATTTGTGTCACATAAGTTATTCCAATGGAAAACATGTGATATGTGTCCTTCCATAAAATGCAGGTGATTTATAGAACCAATGAGTACAACTCAGCAGAAACAATACAATCTGAACAATATGCATTAAATTGGAAATTTCACGATCTGGCTGCACTCACTGCAGCCATCTGCCTAAAATGTACAGGATGAACTGGTAGGCAAAATCAATTTGATTTAGTGTGATCCAAGAAACTAAAACACAAAGTTGATTTAATGTTATAGAACCCGTTTCATTCGGAACAGATCTCTATATAGTTGCAATCCACTGAGCTCACAGTAAAAACACAACACTTTGCGACTGGTTTCATGAAGGAGCAGTGACTGAGGCTTCAGTGAAACTAGACTCATGACGGAAGGAGGAAACCATGTCACTTGCACGCGTTGACCTGTCATGAAAACCACTGTGGAGTTGTTGTCACAAATCGTGCCATGCCTGCTTCTTTACTTCACACTCCTGAAACTCGCAAGAATCAGAGCAAAACAAACTACAATGTTTAAGCTGAAGGCTTTAACATTGTTGCTGTGATCCATTATTTTCTATTAGATCACAAAGTCTAGAAAAAATGTCGCTGAAGGATTTTACTTAGAGAGCCAGAACTGTGACACTTACATAACTGCGCTGCTATTAAAAGAAGAGTCGCAAACATAGCTTCTGGGTTTAGCTGGAAACATAGATTGAACTAGCAAAGGCTGAGTTAGTATCTATTATATAGAAACAGCATGATCAGCAAAATCACTAACTACGTCAGAAGAGACAGACGTAAATAGGTCAAGTAGAAACCCCAACCTGAGTTGAAAAATGTCTGGATCGCAACTCTGTGGCTGATTTTTTTATGTTTCTGAGTTTATGGCGCAGCATTAATGTTAAAAGTCTCAGTGTTTAGTCAGGAAGAAAGTCTCTAACATGCCATCAAGTAAGTACACCGTGTTCTTGTTTGCGCTGGAGGAAGCACAGCGTTCTCTTTGTGGCTCTTCTAGGTGATGTACAGCGACATCACCGTCAGATAGGAGGCTGCAGAAGGAAATCCAGACACCAGAGTAGAACAACAATTACAGTAAAAAAAAAAAAAACTGTGTAGATGCAAACTGCTTCATTTGAGTGCAGAGTCAGCAGCCAGCACCAGTAGGTCCTAATTTCACAAAGTTGCACTTTATTTTGAAATACAGAAAGTGATAAGATGTGATTGCTAGTTTTAGTAATGCAGGCTTGCATCCAATTAATTGGCTAAATCAGAGGCTTTCTATGCAGCAAGAACATCAAAGTTTGGCTAGAAGTTGTTGACACCAGTCAGCACATTTGCTCCTAAATAAACTCAATGCACAGGCCCCTGGGGCCCTTGTTTCAAGGCCATTGTGTGTTTTGCAGAAGAACAGCTACCTTTGAGGGAGGTCTCCACCAGCCGCAGATACTGCTTGGACTTCTTGTTACCGTGGCTCATCTTCTGGGCCAGGCCGTTCCGCTGCAGCACGCACTCCTCCAGTTGAACCACATTCTGGTGTCGGTTCTCCAGGCTCGTCAGGGCCCAGAACTCGGCCAATGCCAGTTCCACGTTCTCCGGGGCGTCGCACTGGAGCCTCTTCACCGCCACCCGGGCCCCGGTCCTGCGGGCCACGGCCTCGTACACCACCCCGTAGCTGCCCCGGCCCACCTCCCGCAGCAGGCTGTACCGCGGAGACACGGCGGCCGCCGCCGGCCTGGAGGGGTCACCCCGGAGGAAGGAGATGGAGAAGCAGTCCTCGTCCTCTTCCTCCTCCTCGTCCATGGCCTCGGCACGCTTGTTGTTGTTCCCCACGGTGAGGGAGCGGAGGACCTTCACCGCCTCCCGCTTCATCTTGGCGGCCGCGCCGCGCCTGCAGCTCCGCACTGCGCCGCTTACCTTCCTTCTTCTCTTCCCGTCGCGTATATCCATAGCTTATTTTTCGTCGAAAGTAAGCATGAGGCGATTGCGTGTTTATCTGTCATTACTTAAACTCTTGCCGTAATAAAAGTTAGCCGTTCTTCCTGGTCGAGGTCGGGAGAAGTTAAACCTCCGCCTGTCTAAAATGGCAGACTTTACTTCGAGCTGCTAAAAGGTTAAAAGTTGCCGATAAACCTGCCCGGTGCGCCACAGGCTGCCAGTCCAGATGTTCTAAATATTTGGGCTTCCTAAACAAAATGTTCCAGCTCGTACAGAGAACAGAGGGCGTGGCCAGCCGCAGCTCTGCTGCGCTTTGATTGGTGCAGAGAGAGAAACGCTGCCGGACATGCAGAAACTATTAAATGATTACTTGTTTTTATCAAGCTAGACACAGTTAATGAGTTAAGTTATAAAAACTTAGTAAATTGACTTGGATAAACTTAATGAGTTGAACTGGATGATCGTAATATATTGAGTTGGTCAGACGTGGGATACAAAAAATGGCATCAAACTCGATAATTTCAAGTAAAGTCAAAGTAAAAAGTTCCCTTACATTCATTTAAGTTAGAGTTGTAACTTTTACGGTAATTAAACACAAAAAAGTAAGTTTGGTTATCATTAAACCAAATTAAATAAGTGAGATTAATGTAAAAAAAAAAAAGTCCATAAAATAAACTACAGCCAAAAACACCTTTCAGAGAGTCCATCCGGTTTTAACGCTCTGCGTGTGTGTGGTGCTGCATAAAGTCATCAGAACCGTCTGGATCACGGTGACTTCTATTCACTCTTTGCTTTTGCCAGCAGAACTAAAACCCCACAGACCCATAAATCCATCCATTCTTTTCTGTCCTTTCTTGCTGTGCTGCATTCACAGTCCTGCATACCAGTCTTTTTGCTCTCCCAGAGTAGATGTGCCCACTGTCACAGCTCAGCAGCCAGTGAAGCTTTATTTGTGGAACTTGTCAAAAGGGGGAATTAACTTAGGCTTAGACCTCTCCACTGAAATCAGCAGGAATCTAACTGAGTCCACAGCGCTGTGAACTCATCAGTGGGCACTGGACTGCATTGCGTTTTTTTTTTAGCAGAAAATATAGAAGATTTCAGCACTTTTTAAAAATTAGCTTAAGTTTAGTTTTTACACCAATTTCCAACGTTAAGTTCAGTTAAAGCCAGTCAAGATAAGACAAGACGATTTTCACTCCAATTCCATCCATCCATCCATCCATCCATCCATCCATCCATCCATCCATCCATCCATCCATCCATTCATCCATCCATCCATCCATCCATCCATCCATCCATCCATCCATCCATCCATCCATCCATTCATCCATCCATCCATCCATCCATTCATCCATCCTTCCATCCATCCATCCATCCATCCATCCATCCATCCATCCATCCATCTGATCCTTGCAGGGTTGTGTGGGGGGCTGGTGCCCACCTCCGGCAGCCTCAGGGCGACAGGTTCTCATGTTCTACAGAGTGTAGAACATGAGAACTACACTCCGATTTTAATAACTTAAAGCAACAGTGCATGAGTGATACGCCTCCTGCTCTCGCAGCTTTCTGTTGTCTGTCTTCTGTTTAAAGCATGGATCCAGTGCAGTAGCCACTTGGAGAAAGCCCTTGATCATCATTCTGCAAGGGTCATCCCCCTCCTTTCGCTTCTGAAGAACAAAGAAGGCTGCATTTCCTGTGCAGCACAGCGACTTCGCGTTGATTGCACTCAGTGGTTGTGTGACCAGCTGTTTGTGTGTTTGTCCAATGCGGCTGGAGGCGAGGCTCTGCCCAGACAGGGTCACGAAGGCCGTTTCTCTTCAACAACAATGGCCTCCCTTTACCTCATGGTGTGCTGTAATGTGCATTGTAGACACTCACTCATTCTTGATGTAAGCAAATGTTGGAGTCATGCATCTTTACCTACTGCTGCAGGAATTCATAGAGCAGTAGCCTGCAATTCTGTGCTGGATCAACGGCTCAGGAGGAATAAGAAAAGCGACAGATGGAGCTAGATAGACAAGATGGATAGGATATTTGATGATGTATGACGCTTCAACTCGAAAAATAGAAATACACACAAGACAAGATTGAAATAACTGTATAAAAATGAACACTGCGTCACAAATAATCTTTGTTTTTGTAATTCTTTTTTATAGAAGCTTTCTCACTTGACTGAGGAGGATTTCCGACAAGCAGAAGACTGCAAAAAAAGTGAGGAGAGACAGAAATATCTTCATTCCTGCGACTTGATCAAAAGTATGGATTTTGCAGAATGATGATCAAGGGCTTTCTCCAAGTGGCTACTGCACTGGATCCATGCTTTAAACAGAAGACAGACAACAGAAAGCTGCGAGAGCAGGAGGCGTATCACTCATGCACTGTTGCTTTAAGTTATTAAAATCGGAGATCTAAAGATTAGCCACATCCTTTTTAGTCAAAGGAAAAAGGCTGTGGAGACAGACGAGGGAGTCACCAAGCAGTGTGAGGAAAGGCCTGAGAACGAGGAGGAGAATGGACGTGCTCCAACCGTTTCTTTTATCATACTGTTTTAATGTAATTAAATAGAAGGTTATTTATCTTCTTTTTTTTATATACTTTTTGTCAATGTAATTCCAGATTTTCTAAATGTCATTCATACCAAAGATGCAGACCTATTTGATGTCATATCATCCCGTCAGCTAAACTTATATGCCGAGCAACAGTTTGCATTTCAGCCCCGACACTGTTTTCTAATATTTTATTTACTTTCCACTTGTTTCCACTGTGGAGATGAGAAGCACATGGGGAATTATAACAATTGATGTGGTTATACATTCTAAAACAGCTGAATATTTAATGTTGCCACACTTTGAAAAGAATGATGCAAAAACATCACAGAGCAGAGAGTCAGAATCCATCTATAAGGCTTTTTGATGCTGGATGTCACTTTTTAGCCATTAAATATGACTCCTGGAGCTATTATGACAAAAAACCAGGAACGCTTACACTTCAAAAGCATGCTCTCCTGACCTCTTGTGGTGGAGCTGGAATAACACCCTATAAATTACACTTCAGTGGACTTTTCATATTTGTGCTCCACCTCTTGATAAAGAAAAGGGCAGATTGCCTTTAGATAATGTGGAACCGTAAAGACATCCTCAACAACTGGACGTGTGTTCATCATTCCAGCACAGCTGATGACTTCAGCTCACATTATTCTGAATCTAAAACTTGTTTCATCTCCTACATGCAATCAGGAAAAAAAAAGAGGAGAAAACAGTTAGTGTGTGTTGTTGAGTGGAGGCGGATATTCACCATGGTGCTCTGTGAGTGTGTGTGTGTGTGTGTGTGTGCGTGTGTGTGTGTGTGTGTGTGTGTGTGCGTGTGTGTGTGTGTGTGTGTGTGTGTGTGTGTGTGTGTGTGTGTGTGTGTGCGTGTGTGTGTGTGTGTGTGGTGGCTCTGACCTCGCCTGCAGAGGTTTTGTGCTACAGTCGAGATCTGGCTGTATTATTTTTCCTCTGCTCTGCTCCAGGATGAATATCTTTCACGAGTTTCAGGGACGCTCACTTCAGCTTGTGAGTCAGAACAAAAAAATGGCGTTACCACGGCAACTTGAAGGCCAGTGGCGCTGAGGTAAAACGACGTGGATACAGATACTGTGATGCTTGTTAGTTGATGTCTTTTGTCTCATTTCCTGAGAGGTCAATTTCCTGAGCTGAGGCATCGAAAAGTTCCTGAACGCACCACACGGAAGTCAGTATAAGGGGATGGCGTGTAGAGAAAAGGGAGGAAGTGGAGACTTACCTGGAGCAAAACTTATGACAGATGCTCCAGTTTGAATAGTCTAGGTCACGTCCACACTGCTGCATGGTGACAACAGCAGCAGGCTGGAAGCTTTTAAAGCGTTTCTTCAGTAGTTTGTATTTTGGACTTTGTCTGCTTTTTCATTCGTTTCATGCTAAGTAAAATCATTCTCATCTTTCTGGACCAAATTCTGGCCTTTCTGCATGGATGCTCAACTCGCTCCTGTACTGAGTGAGTTAGCAGTTAAACAGCAACAAGATCATTTCTTGGTGGAAAAGCTGAAACATGCGAGTGAAGGTTCAAAGAATCTGTACTGGTGCTGAATATTTCCTGACCAGTCCTCGTCTCTGACTGGGCAGAGTGTAACCAAACAAAAGAAAATTAAGAAACGTGACGAAAGCAAAAATCATTTTTAAAATGATGAACAGGTTGCCTATTTCAGACTGGATCAGTACATGACCCAGATTTAATGGATACAAACGTGTAACTCATTCAGGTGCTGCTTGGATTGTCTGCTTTCATTCTTTCACTTTAGAATCTGATGTTCGATAGCTTACGCTTGCTCCATCTTTTCTTTTGTTTTTGCTCCTCTCCTGTTCATATTTGAAAGACTGAGTAGCACCACGTGGGACTGATTTAGACTCAAGTACCCTTTCAGGATGAAGAAGCTGTGTTTCATCTCCTCTGTGTGGGCAAACAGAGAAAAATCCTTTCTCTTAGCAAATATTGATATTCAAATCAGACGTTTCATTGAGTTGTTTCTTAGAAGCGGCATATTCAACCTTTTGCCTCGTCATCCATCTATTCTGATACATCCTGGCCTTTACCCCTGATCCAGAGGTTGGGTGGGGGTTTTTTTAGAATTGAAAGCCTGTTTGTTACCCTGTCTGGGTGAAGATGTGTTCGTTTCTCACCTTCAGCATTTGGCGGAGCCGCCTGTGGAGCCTGTGAAGCCCCATGTCAGGTGCAACAGGGACTCCAACACCTCATCTCCACCTGCATGATGCGGACTGGCAGATTCTGCATCAAGTTCATACAAAACACATCCACAGTACCCGCCAAAAGATCAAACTTTTTCTGATTTCATTTTTTTCTCCAAAGAGTTTTTGCGGCGCCAGTGGCTCGTATTTTTGACAGTAGGCAGACAGGGAGGAGGACGAGGAGAGCCGGGAGTCGAACCCGTTGAGGACTGAGGCCTCCAAACGTGGGGCGTGCTAACCCCCTGCGCCACCACAGCACACCCATTTTTCTTATTTTCTTAATGGAATCAGTTAAACTCGGGAGTAGAACCAGTTCTAGTTGAACAATGAGTGGCTTTATGAATGTTTAATCACACGGGTCCTCACATTTTACACCCAAGCTTTAGAGGTTCCCCTTGCTGAACTCCTCCAGACTAGCCAGCAGCAGTTAGCAAACAGATGCTGAGCTCATTACAGGAGCTACTTGTCAGTGCAACGCTGGTAAAAACAGTGCTAAAGGGTTAGT